TATGAGGAGAAAATTCTGTGTATATCATTTTAACCAGTTGGTTTGCAGAGATTAATTTCTGAATTATGAATACAGAATATGAGTCCTTAAATTAGGAGGAAATAGAGAATGTGATCAGAAGTTAATAAAACTGTTAGAATGTTGTTACATATTAAACTTGCTATAAAGGTAAAGCAGGATTCCACTCTATTCTTTGCATTGATAACGGAGAAAATTTGAGAGGATTACTACCATCATACCATCCTTAAAGTGATTGAGTGCGATGCTGCAATGAGTGTTGGAATATGCTGTAGAGCAGCAGAATCTGAATCTGATGTGCACTGTAGATAGTGATGTCTCTTCTCTTAGCCTTGTACTACTGCTTGTAGGCAGTAACTCAGCAAAAGGCATAATGGCAGTGGTGAGACTAGTTTTTGATATTGATGGTGTGTTTTTTTGACAATAATGCCAAAAGTTCACTCTCAATTATTTTTTTAATAGTATATTTTCAATAAAGAAAAAAAAAATCGGGTTTAGAGAACCTTTCACTACTTGACTTGTGGACTTTTAAGTTTTGTTATCTTTCTACTTGTTTCTATTTTTCTGTTAGGGATATAATATATTTATTCAAAAACATAGAGATTTTTTTCTACTTATATTTAATTTCTCTTAACCCAGAAAATCTGTGTAGGTGTGCTTCATCCTCTAATTTTAAGCCCACTGTCAGTGTCCCAAATAAAGTAATCCATGTTAAGAACTGGACATTATTTAAAGCATAATCATGATAGAGAATGTGTTGCTGTCAACCTCACATCCCTTGAGAGATGTGACAAGGGAGAAGATTCACACTGTGCCTACCTGAATATGTGAAAGAACTGTGGCTATCGAAAATCCACACTGAAGGATGAATTGGAGAATGGAAATCAGTTAAACGATGCTGAAACTTGGTAAAGTGCTTGAGTGTGATAGAAGCTGATACTGTCCGTATTGGCCGAGAATCTCAGTGGGGTGTCTTAGCTAACTTATCCACAACCACAGAAAATACAATGTTGTAGGAGAGCTCAAAGGCACAAAAATGGGATCTCAGAAGTTTTCCTTGACAGTGTCTCAGATGTTAATTAAGATGGGGCAGACAGGCCCAGAAAATCAGAAGTGATAATGTGATCTTCCCATCATCTACCATTAAGTAGTCTGAGCCTGTGATTTTCAGTCAGAAATCTCTGCTTGCCGCCCTGCAGTTCTCAAGCTCTTAAACCTTTTATTAAATATACAGGAAAAAAGAGAGAAGCATTTCAAATGTGAAGTGTTAAGTATAGCCTTCATTTTAACTCTTAACTCATTTCTTTTCCTTATGCTTTAGGGAGTTCTTAAAAAGAAAAAATCATGTTAAGCGTTTCTTTAGGTCAACATTAGAGATGATATCTGTCCTTTTTTGGAAGGAAAAAAAAAGTTACTTAAGGCAGGCTTTAGCTGCGGCTGCTGCTGCTGGGACTTAAGCTTCCTTCCTTGGAAACAAATACATGGAGGTGAAACCTCAAAAAAAATAGGGAAAATATAAATTACATCTCTTGTGCTGACTTTTACTGGCTGTGAATGATTAATGCAAAATATTTTTAAAAAATATTTTAAAACTGGCTCCAAGATTTGGCATATTTCTACTAGAGATACTGCTGCAGCTATAGTTTTAGCTGTTGACTTACATTGCTATCAGAAAAGAAACCATTCACTGAGAATGGTTAAACAGAGAAAACCAAGTAGAAAATATTAGAGAAAATATGGAAAGAGTATGGAAATATTGAGGCAATAAAAGAATGTAAATCTTGTTACTTTGAAATCAAATATAGCTTTAGGTTGCAATTTATTAATTAGTAAACATAGTTAGTATTCAACGCTCATAATTTCTTTTGTATTTGGAAGTAGGCCAGTGGAAAAAACTTGCAGTGAGGCACAAAGATAATGGCATCTAAAATTTTTTTCCACTGAATCTACTGTAATATAACATCCTGCTTCTGCTGTTATATTTGTATTTACTTCAGTAACAGTGGGTTATACAGGATTGTTTTTTTTCCTTCATTACTCCCCACATAGAGGACCACAGATTGGTAGGAATCCACTTTTCATCACAGACTTGCAAGCTTGAGATTGATTAAAATATGCAGTTACTGCTGTTAAATAAAATCTGTCCATATGATATTTTAAAAATATTCTAAAAATTATTAGCTCCTGATGTCCTTTTTCAAGGTATTATCCAGGGAACACTTAAATTACTAGGAACTTGACCAATAAGAGTAATTGCTCATCATCTTATAACTGAAGAAAATTAGCGGCTGGGCTTGGCAGAAGTAGCTTTTTCACTGATGAGGAATCCAGAATACAATGTTCTGAGCCTTCTCGGCTCCTCCTTTCTTCTTCTTTTCCAGCCATATGGATCTTAGTCCTATAGAAGCTTCATATATGTGTGGTAGACTAGCCATGTTGGTGTTTTTGGTAAGAGAGACGAGACTATGATCCTGTTTTTTATTTGTGTGCTCTGTTGCAACATACAGATCAAAATTTAAACGAGACCATGGGAAAATACATTCCCTCACTTTTACGTTATTTAATGATAGTATAAATCCAAGTAGAGAACAGAGCACAGTGACTAAAGCCTAATGCTGTTTAAATGGGAGGAGAGACCTGATTGGAGAGGAGTTGATCTGTGGACTCCTCTGTGAGTGACCCTGTAGTACACTAAAGTGCACTACATAGGTGCTGATTTGATTTAGATGTCCCTTGGGGATAAATGGTATTGAAAAGTTTGCTTTATTGGTAATTCAATGGAATGATTATACAAGTCAGGTCTGAGCTACAATTCTTTTGCTCTTCTGTGAAGTCTGATATGGCTATATTTGTTACTTGTACTAGATAATTAATTTTACCCCATTTTTTTCTAAGAAGGTGAAAAAGATGCATAGTTTCCAAAGGCTTTTATAATTTAGTGTTTAAATACTTTTACTAAGGAAAAGCTACTCAGGTAAAGGAAGTTCCACTTTCACGTTTGTGTTCTACTTCCTATTAAGTGAAAAATAACTATGGGATTAATCAAGTAAGGTTGATTGGCAGTTACTTCTCTATTTGTCAATATATTGTCAGCTTTTTGGAATATGATTTGGAATGCAGCCTTTTAACTCCTTTGTAACTTTCGTGCTGTCTTGTAATGCTGCTCATTAAGAGCAATTAACCTTAAGCAGAATAAGCTGTTGAGAATATATTCCTTTCTTTCTCCCTGAAAGTATAGCAAAGATTTACACAATTAAAATTAACTTTTGAGAAGAGGCTTTTCAAGCTTAAAGGGCCTAAACAACCATTCCATAAATGTAGAGGAGAAAACATGAACAGATTTAGGAAAACATAACTGCTATATAGTAGCAGCACTTCAATGCACATTTATTGTAGACTGTCAAGAGCATAGTAAAATTACAGAGTTTAGCGCTCTGGAAACTGTAGGTGTTTTTCAGAAATGTTTTTATACAAGGCATATTATGAAGGAGAGGAAAACATCACGTGTCGCTGTGTGCTGCATAGAAATTTCTAGTATGTGTTTCTTCCAGACAGTTTGAATCTCCAGTTCCTCTTTAGTAAGAATTGCTCCTTCAGCTTCTGCTGGGTATTTAAGAAGTTTTGAAGCTGAGCAAACCATAGAAATCCTGACACTGAAATACTCTGTCAATAATATTTTATGTTTAGTTGTGATTCTAGTCTGGCTGTTATATTTCCTCTTTTCCTATTTGTCTTAGGTTGGGGCAGAGAGGTTGGAGTGTGTGTGGTGAGGGACAGTGTCACAGAAGTATTCATTGTGTGTTACTCCTTATCAGTAGAATAGGAACATTAAACTCAGTCCTTCTGATAGAAATTCAATTTTAGGATTAGCAAGTGGAAAATAAACTTTTATTATATACAGGTCATCACTTAGTATCATATCTGTTTCCAAGCAGGAGCCCACATATTAAATCTTTTATCTTAGTTGTAATTAAAACTTCAGTGAAAGCATAATATGATGATCAAGGTAGGTTCAGAGTTACTTTGTATTAAAGAAAGACTTTAAAAGTAATGTGAATATTAGCAGGTAACTATCCCAGTATGATGTGGGAACTTATTGACAGAAGTACCCGAGGGAGGTTATTAAGTTTTGTATCCTTGTTTAGAAAAGAGGGAGGACTGCCTAAACAAGGTAGTAATTTGTATAAACATGGGGCGGAAAAGCAAAAAGAAAGCTCAGGAATTGGGACCATCAAGGTTTGTCATGAGGTGAGAATCAGTCAGGCAGCAAGAGCAGCAGTGAGCAGAGAGCACTGCTGAGAGAGTTACTTCAGCCACTGAGTTTAAAAAGAGTTTAAAAAGGAGTGGAGTGATGATGATGATGATGATGATGGTGATGATGTTTCTGTGGTTTTCCTCCAGTTAAAATTTCAAGAGCTTTTAAAGATGCCTGTATTTTGCTTCTAGAACATTCCTGTTGTCAACCATACTTGTAGTATTAGCTCCACCTTTGTTCAAATGGTTTCAAAGCTTCCTTTTTGTTCGCTTTTGTCAAAACCAAGAGTTCCAGTTGTATTAGACGCTTTACCAAACATCTGCAATAATACTTTCTTTAATTAGATATTTGAAACTAATGAAATTTTGCTATCACTTTTGTTGTTGGTCAGGATTTCACCTTGTATAGAGAACATGTATTGTTGTTAACTTTCTATATTGTGCATTGAAATGGTAGACTAATGGCTATTCTCAAACTGCTTTTATTTAAGGTGTGGAGGAGAGCCACTAATGACACGTGCATAGTTCTTAACTCTACAGAAAATAAACTGAATGATGTGGTAGTGAAATGTTCTTCAAAGCAGCTTATCATCGAAGTAGTAATTTTTTTTAAATACAGCTTGTAGGAAATGTGATTAGGATGAAGTACATAAAATTCATGAAAATTCCTTTAGTTATAAAGTAAAATATGGGTGAAGAAATCTCACTTTTCCTTTTTGATTTTGTAGCTTGCACGTGCAGTGGACATGCAAATATTTGTCACATGCAAACAGGAAAATGTTTCTGCACAACTAAGGGAATCAAAGGAGACCAGTGTCAACTGTGAGTACAATTAAATGTAGCCCAAAGTTACTACAATTCATGAGTAGTGTATAATTACTTTTTTCCTGGTTTTGTTTTGCTTTTGGATTTTGTGATTGACCTGACAACGTTTTAGTGATGAATCTAGTGTTCCCTACATTTCTTAGGAAGTTTCAGTATTACTTAGGCTTTTGTTGAAGAATTACATCACAAATATTAGTATTTTGCAGACACTACATATTTAAAAAATATCATGTAAAAAGAAGTAACTGAAGATTTACCTGTATTTGTCCTCAGGATTTTTAGAATTTTTCTAAGTAAAAAAAAAAAAATCTGCAAAATTGGTAATTATATTTAGTACATTTGTCACATATCTTTATCAGAACCTACAATGATTAGTTGTTTAGAGTTTTGGAAACATGCTAAGATGCACAGTGTTTTAGAGTTTTCCTTATCATTAAAGATAGAACAGAGGAATGTGTAGACCTGCCATGAAAAGTACAATTAGATATCTTGTTTTGTACTGGAATAGCTTGTGGGTTTTTTTTAGAGGAAGAGCTTACAACTTAAGATAGAGACAGTCAAATGGGAAGACTGAGAACAAGGAACTATTGGAGTAACTTGTCAAGTAGGAGAACTAACACATTCAAGTTAACTATGAATTGCCTTATATTTAGAGATGTTTCTTTCAGTTTATTCTATCCTGTACATTGCATTATCCAACAGGAACCTTATTCCTTTAACTGTTACAGTTATTTTAAGTAGTATCTGGCCCCAAAATTGTCTTAGTACTGTTTGGAATGGGAGAAAAAGCTTAAACACAGCCTTTTCCTCTCTAGGAGAGAGAGGTGCCAGAAGGTTACGCTCTGCCTGCCACGAGGCATAATCTTCCACTGGATTTGTGGATTCATCTTTGATATACTTAATGAACTGGCTTGAGTCCTACCCTTAACACTTTGTTTGATAAATAGTTAAGAAGCAAAAGTACCTGCTGCAGAGGCTATGTGTATATTCATGAGAGCGAGCTGTGGTGGCAGGTACAGTGTTTCAGTGGTACCTCTGGGACTTTTTGTCTCGCTAACTGGTGACTCAAGATGACTCAGATTAGGACTAAAGGATGAATTTTTATCATGACAACAGTTTAAGCATGATAATACCTTTAAACTCCTAATTAAGTCTTCACTGAGAAGTTGTTTGTTTCATCATCTTTGTGTCCATACACTTAATCAGTTCGAGATGGTAATGGGTGGCTTGATTACCAGTGTGCTGCAGACATATGTTGATGTCATTCTACCTATTTACAAAGAATGGGAAAAAAAAAGGTCTACTCCTCTAAGGATCATAACACTCAAACTGCGGAAAACAATTCCTTTTCTCATAACTCCAATCCTCTACTAACTACCATTCAGTTTAAGGCTCTCTTTATAGACCTTTTCCCCTGTCTGTATTTCACATACCTATTTTGCTGTTGTTTTCCCTTTGTCTTGTGTCTGTTTTGTCATAATTTTCTCCACTTTAATTTGGAACTTCTGTCTCATACAGTTGGTTGTGAGGTTGTTTGTAATCTGGGTGTTCCTGCTCCGGCAGGGGGATTGGACTAGATCTTTTGAGGTCCCTTCCAATCCCTAACGTTCTGTGATTCTGTGGTTGTGCTGCTCATCCATATCACTCTGCTCTCCTGAGTTTGTCTGTCATCAAAAGTTCTTTTATCCCATTTACTGAACTAGAAAAGAAGAGTTTGTTCTGGTGGTGGATTTTCCTGTCCTGGTCAAGAATTACAGTAATTCCACAAAATGGAGAAATCAAAGATTTGAATTTTTGACTTTTCAAGAGTCAACTTAAAATTACAATTTCAGACTGAAGGTCTCTGGTTTTCTCACGTATAATATGGCCACCTTCCTAGATTCTTATGTAGACCAAAGACTTATCCAGGGCAAGGTGTGTTAAAGCATTTGGTATTCCAAATGGTTTATTTTGGATAAAATAAACTGCACAGACCAGCCACTTTCAAACTGTTTCTGGCTGTGATCACATTTCAGATTGTGAACTTCACATCTGTTGGGTTCATAGACACAAATATTAACATAAAAATTGAATTTCTGTTTTTTAAGTCCTTTCCTAACTCTGTTCTTAAAAAAAACAACAAAAAAACCAAACCAAACAAACAAAAAACCAAAAAAGGTGATGTACACTATCTTGTTTATGACAGCACATGTAGAAAGACACCAATTCCAGTTATAGACACTTGGAATGTGTTAGGAGACTATCTAGAATAAAATTTCAGTACTGGAGACTCACTGTTAAGATCACTGGATATCCTGAGGAAAGCTGATCTCCACAGATTGAGAGTTTTAGTACATGTCATCAGATGACACACCTAGGATTTGTCGTTTTACTCTGATGCTTCGTTTGGGAGAGTGATCCATTCATGTATGGATGTTTCAGATGAATTTTGTTTGTTATTTCCCTTAGAACATCAGGAGATGAATAACATAAAAAATAGGTCACACCTGAATGAATCCAGTTCCGTGCTGCCACCTAATTTGTAAACTTCATGTGAAGAATGTGAACCTGATCAGACTCATATTTAAAAAAAATAGAAAACTATTTTCTCTGTAACAATTATCCTTACACTCAAAACCTGTTTTGAAAGTATCCTATTATATTATGAAAATACATACACAGTAGTTATCCAGAAGATAAGGATTATTTTAAAGCAGCGAAATGCTTTACTTGTTTTTATTACTTTATTATATTCTGCATAAATCATCTGGAACTTGATTTGAAGTGTGAATACTGTTCTCCGTAGCTCTGGATAAAAGTTGTTTTTTGGCCACTTGTTAGATAGGTTTTTGTGCAGTCTCAGCAGCAAACCTATAACCCTGTGATTTCTAAAATAAGGATTTCTGTGAAAAGTCCAAATTCTGTTTGGTGTGAAAGTTAGATTTATATTCCTGTCAAGAATCCTATTGATTAGACAGTCATAGCTATGGGCCTTTATGTTATCTCCCTTCCTCCACCTCTTCTTCCTCCTCTCTGATGCTTTTATATCTGCTCCTCATGTGCAGTACACACCGTGCCTGGGGGGCAGAGTTTTTAGTAAGTCAAGGACACTTTACAAACCTTCTTGGTTTTTGTTTTTTTTTCTTTCTATCTTTTTCTGCTCCCTAGCTTCAGAACAGCTTGTAATTTGTGGCTTTATGTAGAATCTTTTTTTTGTGTAATTTTTTTAGTATACCTGTCTCTGTTACATTAATTTCTGAGTTGTGTTGTTGGACAGCATGAAGAACAGTGACATTTAAAATCAAAATTGTTTGAAAGCAGCTTTGAGCATACTTTTACATTTTATTTTACAATGTTTCTTTAATGACACATGATCACATTTTTTCCTAGAAGTATTTTTGTTTCCCCTCAAGTAGGTAGCTTCAGTTAGTAAAAACCTTTAAATACTCTCCTAATCTGATTAGAATGGTTTCATTATTCAAAGTGACCAGACTAGAAAATGATAAGAACTGATACAAATAAAAATACATAGATTCTTTTTTCCCCTCTTTTAATTTTAATGACCAGATGTGCCATTGATAGTAACAGGAAAATCAAATGGACTTAAAACATATCTTAGGTGAAAGCTATTACTTTAATGTAGTTTTATTTAATTTCCTGTAATACTTGCTAGCTGCTCATTTTATTCCCTCATAGGATTTTGTCTACAGTTTTTAAAGTTTGAATAGGTTTTGGTGTATCCAATGCAGGATTATATACACAAATAAATTTTCAGGAATAGTCCTATGGAAATGTAAGGAATATGCAAAGGGGATGTTCCCATTTCACATTCTGATATTAAATGAGATAAATTTTACTGCATGCAAGGAAGAAAAATATGAAAATTGCAGAATTAGCTGAGCAGTTAAATCATTATTTGAGAAGTGTCAGTATGTCTGGGCTCTTCCAAGAGACAACCTTCACCTGGACATGTGTCTGTAGCTTCTGTCAACCTTTGTACATCTGGACAAATTATGAGCATCTGGAAAAGTTACAGGGTTACAAACGCTTGGTGGAAATAAGGTTTCATAGTGATTTTTTCAAATTGTCAGGTTTTACAGGATGTCCTATAGCATTTATTGCACTGTGCTTCCCAGTTACTGCCATTGCTCTAGTTGTGGGGGAAGGAAATCAATCTCTATTGTTAAGTACTTCCCAGTGTGGTAGATTTTAGGCTGTTGGATCTGTCTTGTTGGTATTGAAGCTGTATTGGCGAATGATGGGCAGGTTAGAGATCATGTTAGTGTATCTAAGTTCCCAGGCATAAATCAGAATAATAATAATTTTATGTAACTGGGAAACATTCAAATGTTGAGAACATTTGCTGTGCTGTGTAGAAAAAGAAATACCAAAAAACCATGTAAGAACTAAGCGAAAAACTGAGCTTCAAGACTTCTGTAATGAAGAACTACTAGGTGGAAATAAAATATTGAGATGGGGGGGGGAAATCTTAATTTTAATATATTTCATAGTATATTTTATGTAGTTGTAAGAAGGATAAATTTAAGAGTATAAAATGTATAGATGAGGATATTCTGGAATGAAAAAGTACTATTTTGCTAATTTTCATTCTAATAAGTATTCAGACTATTCATTTCTTAGTCATACTGTTACTTCTTCTGAAATGGTCGAAGAAATACTATTGCATTTATAGCTATATACCCTGTTTTTTTGGTAAAATCTTCAGTGTATTGAAGCTTTAAAAAGCTATTTAATAATGTAAGGATCTGCGCATAAGTAATAAACCCTTATTGATAGACTGATTTACATAAGAATAAGATTTTAAAATATCCAGCTGTTCTCTTCTATATCATTCCCCTTCACAGAATGGTGTCATTCCTCTTAATGGGCGGAAAGGCAGGTAAAAATACACTGAGTTATGAGTCAAATTCACCATTCTATTGATATCACTGCAACTTTATTTGCTGATAACAGAGTAAAGCTGTTCCCCGTTTTTTCCACTCACAGCTCTGCTTTCTGCTTTCCAGTAGGGCAAAAATTGACAGCAGTTGCATAACAAATTCACTTTATTAGAACTTCCCTTATGAAAGACATGCATACACAACAACATCCCCCCCCCCCCAACACCCAAAACAAACATGAACAACACAGGGAGATCCTAGTTGCTGAAAGTCTAATATTAAAGTCACTATTGAAGAACTTTTTTAGCTGATTCAATACTAGTTACTATGGTGATCTGTGCTTTTCTAAAATGAAATATAAAAGTATAATATTTAATGTTTTAAAGTACTAGAGGAAATGTATTTCAGTTTTTTCTTTTCTTTTCAAGATTTGTTTTCCATTTTTCTGTCATTTGGTTATATTCTATCGCTAGTTTTACATATGTGGTTGAACTTGATGTGGTGTGTTCTCTCCTTATTCACACTGAGTGCAGTCCTTGAGTTTTCCATTTAACTGAAAACTTTGACGTGCCTATGCATGTTACTCCCTTTGCTATGTTCTTTCAAGGAGAATTCCAGCAAAATCTGATGTGTAGATCTATGTGGATTTAGTGACTGCCTCTGTTCTTATTTAACTGCCTGAAAATTTTAGCTTCCTTCTCTAAGGATAGGTTCAAGCCCTCAGCTAGTTCTCAAAGAGCTAGATTGCTAGGTTGCTAAGGAGAACAATAAAATAAAACTCCCACTTCAATATTAAATAGATGTTTTAAATGTACTAATCTTCTGCTCTACATGTAGTAATTATTGCCAGATTTATAAAAGACTTGAGATGCTTTTCTTTAATTCTTGTTTCTGGCATCAATAATTTTTTGCTTAAATTGCAGCTTTCATATGTCTAATATCAAAGCTTCAGAACGTGACCCAAATGCACTCTAATGGCTTGAACGCTCAGAAGGCAAATATCAGGAACTCGAAACATATGAAATAGTTTTTAATCTAAAATTTGAAGGAGAAACAACTTTTATAGTTTGCAGTGGGCCTTGTGCAGTATTTTTTAAATGGGTTTTGGCAGTCTTGTATATCACTATTGGCCTTTCTGTTGGTTTTTTCATACTGCAGTAGGCTTGCCCTCTCTTCTTTGGTATATTCAGTATATGATATGTAAAGTTCATGAGGCTCTCTGGGATCTTTCAGAGTTGCAGGCACTCTGTAAATGTGAAACATCACTTTTTGTAAGCACTGTTACCTTGCAAACTTACATTTTATTCAAGAAATTGCCCAACTTCGTAAAAATGGAGAAGAACTGGAGTTTAAATGTTCTTGTTTCTAGAAGGCAGTTTTATCAGTGAAGAAATGAGGAGCTAATGGCTGAGGGAGCAGCTGCAAACACTTAGCCAGGAGCTTTGAGCATTGGCACTTTATTGTGGGTCAGTTGTGAATGTGTTAAATCTGGAGAACACTGCAATATTGATATTGCAATGTGAAACTAGTTGTGTTAGCAGGAAGGCTCTTGTCAAGAGCTGCATTAAAAATGGCACATGTAATTTTCTTAGGTGCTTCAATGAAATATGCCTTTTATCTTTGAATTCACTACTAATTGGAAAATGGGGAACAGTTTGGGCATGAGGGTTTCTCTTCCATGGGAATAAAGTAATGTTGCTGTTGGCTTCTTAGTTGGGCTCTTCCATAATTGGCTGTATGCACATATATAAGTGTATGGCTTCTGATTTGGTAAGCTCACCAGAGCAGAATCTACTCACTGCTGAGTTTCAGTTGTTCTCTGAGGTTTTTTTTATATTCATTATTTCCTCTCCAGGCTACCTCCAAAAATGCAAACCGCAGAGCAAAACAGATTTTCTTTACAACTTTCCAGACACTCCTGGCTATAAAATAGGAATGTGAGCAGCGTACCTGTCTCTTGTGTCCAGCTGGTTTATGTTTGTATTTGTACTGGATATAGATTTGATTAAGTAATGTCTCTTGTATTTCCTATTTGGAAAATATATGCTGCTGGATTTTCTTTCAAAATAAATGAATCTAAATACTTTGATTTTAAAAATTGTCCTTCCTGTGCCAGGTCCATGTCATTCTGTGATTTGCATTTGAATAATCTGTTTTGCTTAGGGCAGGATATATCAATGAAGTGGTGGAAGAGGGCAGGCTGCCCAAGTCTTTCACAGATGGCATGCCAATGAGACCAGTTTTGAATTCTAGTGCTAAGGATGTGTCTGTTATAAAGCAAACCTCTTCTGTGAGAAGTGCTAATAATTTCTAGTGCTAAGTGTTGCTGTAGTGCTGATTGTATAAAGAAGTATAGGTAAGGTAATTTTTCTAGGTGTTATTTTTATCGTAATAGAGTAGCACAGCTGACAAGAACAGACACTTTTGCAAGTTCTTTAGGTCTGAAATAGACCCATAAAGATTTAAAGCTAAATACAAGCTGAAGACAATTATTCTGCCTTTAATTATGTATGTACAAAGTCTGGACTGGGATGAATTTAGGAGTGGGAGTGATGCTAATGGTTACTCTCATATAGGGAAAAGAGAAACAGGGATAGCCTGTGCCAAATGCAGGAATTACTGGGAAGTGGAGAGGAAGGAAGGTTATGACTGCCATAAAACTGCTTTATTATTGAGTCTGATTTTTTTGTTACCCAGCAATGTTGTGACCTTAGCTTCTGTGCTTGTTTTTAGAAAGCATTTGGGAGGTTTTGAGGCTGTTCCCATACAGCTAAGAAGGGGGTGAAAGACCTTGTGGGTTGGGTTGGCTTTACATCTCACCTTTACACCTCACTTTAAAGCAGAATTGCACAGGTCTGCGTAGCACCATGCTTCATCTTAGTCTTAGACAGGGTCACAGTCAGTTGCAAAGACTTACAATTTGAGGGTTTTTTCCCACAGTTCAAGCTCTTGACAATGATGTCAGGGCTGTGCTGCATAGGCACCTAGGTGAAGGCACCTGGGAAGGCTCCTCCGTGGCCAGGACTAGAACTACAGTTAAGAGCTAGCAAGGCCAAGGCTTATGAGAAATAATAGAAGCCAAAATTTGTATGGACAACTCTTCTTATAAAGCAACCTTCCCAGTGGGAGAAGTGCAGGCAGTAACACTGTCTCTTGGAACTGCTTCTTTGAGAAGATGTAAAATGTGCCTGGAGCATGTCTCATAAAGCAGACATCATAAAATGTTCAGGTTCTGGAAAAAACTTGTAGGAGGTTGCTGACAATGGAGACAAGCTTCTTCTCAACAGGCAGTTCTACCAGCCAGTTCTCTCTCCTAATCTGCATGAACCAAATACTTCCATGGTCTATTCTTTCTGTCCAGATAAAATACTGGGGTCTCCACAAATCATAAATACATCCAGTTTGAGTATCATTGTCACTAACTCTGTTAACCATTAATATAATTACTCTGTTCTTTTCATGCTGCTGTAGTTGGATTATAAACTGTCATTTTTCATGGGAGTCATAATTACTCTCACAGATCATAAATTGTCATGTATAGAATAACATCTGTGAATTGCTCTACCAGAGTACATTTTACTACTCCTTCTTAATGAACTTCTGTGCCTTGATACAGCCAGACACTATGTGCCTGACCTGTTTTAAGTCTTCAGTATTCACTATACCTGCTGTCAGGTTCCAGCTCTTTTTTCAGATACAGCTTGTCCACCTGCTGTCCTGTATGTCTCACACTTGTCTGGTGAATATTGTGATCCATCCGTTTCTGTCCAGAGAAACTGTCTGCACACCTAAGGCGAGTAGATGGTTTCGATCTGTAACTCCCAGTCATGCGAAACCCTCCTTGGCCAATGTACAGGTAGCTTAGAAACTCGCCATCTGTGTTGTCCCTAGGCACCTAACTGCAACCCGTTTGCTGTTTGGGCAGTTGTGGTGGTCAGTCTGGATTTGGGCATTCTACTCAAGGAATAGGGCACCTAACAATTTGGTGGTGAGATAAGAAACATTGCAGCAGATATGTCTCTTCATGGATCTGGGCTCTGATCCATTCTGTTTTGATGCTTTTCTTGTCCCATTGCATCCCTTTTAAGGAGACAGTGAAGTTGGAGTCTTCTCCCTAGGTAGTTGTCCCTCTTTGAAGTACAGACTTTTACACCATAAATTTAACTCTTGCAAATTGTTTTTTAAGAGTTATAAAGATGTTGTCATTGAGATTTTGAAAAGAATAAGCTAACACGGAATCCTCTTCCTAACTCAAAACCCCACTTAAATTTTTAAAAATTAAAATATTTGCTGCAAAAAGGGGAGCATAAATAACAGAGACTTCCAGTGGAGCATGAAGTCATTTGGGCCTTCCTACTGCTCTGGTTAGAGACAAGGGATTCTCTTTGTAGAAGGAAAAGAAAGTAATTGCTGGCTTTTCTGGTTACTCATCCTGCTGTCATCAGAGAAAAATAAAATCAGCTGAGTTGTGACTGACAAAACCAGATTTTTGAGGGAGCTCTTTTAAAAAATTCTAATATATATTGCCATATCGTAACTGATTAAATTCAATGGATGCTATGTTATAGTAACAACCCTCTGCATCACTATTATTATTGCTGGCTGCTGCTACCAGAGTCAGCTTTGGACAATTAACTATGGAGCAGAAGGGAGGAAAGTCATATTTCCTTTGTGAAAGGGGAATGTTTAAGGAGATTTTTTTTCAAAAACTTTTTAACACTCCTACAAAACTTTATGGAGGACAAAACATTTCAAGGTGAGCATCTTCCAGAAAAGAATGCCGCTAGTAGACTTTTTAATGAGCCTTTTCTCTAGGACAGAGAATTTGATGTATGATTATTTTTGCCTTCATGAAACACAAACACCAGTCAGCTTTAGTATATGTATGCGTTTGGGAAATCAGTGCTATCAGAGTGATTTTAATATTTTGGTCTTCCTAAGGTGATCTTGGCTCGTATATGAGATACAGATCAGCCTTAAAAATGGTTTATCAAAATTTTATGTATCATTATTGGTCTTTGTGCTGGAGAAGAGCCAAGGAGGAGAAACAGAGTTTCCTGATGTACCCCCATCCTTGCTGTTGCTTACAGTCCATATCAGCATCTTAGACAAAGGCGGTTTGTCAGTTTTAGGGAGAGGAGAGAGGAGAAATAAGGCAAAGAAGGGCTTACAACAATATTCTTGTCATGTTGCTCAAAACTCTATTTTAAAAGAATATGTACAGTTTTGTATGTGTAAAGATGTCAGTTTTCAGGTGTTTCATAAACAAGCAGCAGCTTTTTATTAGTTTTCAATTTTGGGTAGGATAAATCAATCAAAATGTTCAAAATTGTGATTGAATAAAATACTTAAAATGATACTGGGTGGTGACAATGAAGCCAATCGGGAGAGAAGGCAGGATGTCCAGCAGATTCTAGGGGCTGTACATCCAAATATTCCTGTGACAAAGTTGTAAGCACAAGCTGCTTGCCTGACGGGGGTGAAAGCTTTGTGAATACTTCCAAGAAATCTTCCCCATCCCTTGACCTCCCAGGAACCCCAGTTCTCCCTTGTGAGATGAGATGTTTTGTTGGGGGTGCAGCTTGGTCCCAAGATGTCCTGCGGATTTTGGCCTTGTTGGCTTGCTGACCCCCAAGATCGCTTTGGATTTACCAGCTGCTTCTTGTCCCAGCACAAGGCAAATGCTCATTACTTACAAATGGGCACCAACAGGAGATGTTAAACAGCAGATGCTGACAATTTTGATTACTACATCTGGAGATACATTAATTGTTTATGATCCTTTTTGTACAGCTTCACTTTTCTCCTGTGATTTCTACCAAAGATAAAGTAGATACTTAAAACTTTCTGGTAGAAGCACTTAAAAATATTATAGCAAAAGAACTCTATGAAATTCTTTCACCTGAATCATTTGTGATAGCACTGTTTTGGGGAGCTAGCAAGATTTTCACAGTATTTTATTAGAGAGAAAGGGGAATCGATCCATTTTCATTAAATGATTGTCAAAATAAATGAGGTTTGGATGGCTGAGGTTTAAAGAGAGTAGAGTTGTATTGTGAAGAGCATTATGATTTAAATGCAGACATTGATTGCAGTATGCACAATTAGTGTGTTATGTTCTGTTAGACTTCAAATACTCTGTAACAGATACGCTAGTTGTGAGCAAAACAAGTGAAAATTGTTGTGGGCCACAGATATTTTGAATTTTGATACAAATGATGTGGTTTCTTATCAGAAACTGATTTGTAAAATGAGATTTCAAAAGAACCTCAGCTGTTTCTGCATGTAGTTAATTTTGCTTGTTCATGTAAATTCTGACTTTTTTTTTGAGATCTGTGACAGGAAGTATTATTCACAGAATCATAGAATGGTTTGGGTTGGAAGGGACCTTAAAGAGCTTATTAGATAGTTTTGGATGTCCCTCAAAACACCTTTGTGTCTTGGTGGGGTTTTTTTGTTTCGGTGAGGTGTTTTATTTGCTTTTGATTTTTTTTTTTAGATGACTGTTCCTGAAATGACGGTGTTCACTGAGGCACAAAGAATTGATTCTCAGTAAATGATGAACAGCATTTATGCTTTTTAAATAACAGACTGAAAATGATGGTTTTGGTTTTTGTTGTTGTTGGTTTTTTCTTTAAGAAAAATCCTTTAAAATAGAAATGAATAAGCAAATATTTGACCTGTTCTATACTGGTATGTCTGTATATTTTCTATCTGAGATACTTGACAAAATGTGGTGTGGACTTTATTAAAATGGATTTAGTTTTAGCTATAAATTAGCTTTGTAATTAAATCTAACAGGAAGTATATCTAGGAATTACTTCAGTAAAGTTGTCTCTTGAACTATCAGGCCATTTTAAGAATAAAAAAAATATTGCTTGCCAGAATAACTGTTTCCCTTACTATTTCAGTATGTGGAAAATGCAAAATATATACTTAATGAGAGGTGAGTTGGAATTTAACCATCACAACACAAATTTCTTTACTTAAGTGTAACTGATGTAACACACACCTCTTATGTACTCCAAGTTTTCCTTTTTAAGCTGCGCAGAGAATGTGTTCAAGGAACATTTACAATGGAAATAATACTTTTTTCAGTAGAATCTGTATTGTTTGCCATTTTAAAAGAACATCAGATTGAATGATTTTAAGTTGATACCGATTTTACTAATTGACAATTAAAATATTAGCTGTTGAACAGTTGTTTTCTGTTGAAAACAGTTTAGTAGTACTAGAGTAGCATTTGGTAGCTTTAAAGTGGTTGTGTTGCTGGTGCTGCTTAACCCAGCAAATTGATCACATAATTTTGACCAGGACTGAACAGAGGCTCAAGGGACTTGCCTGCCTTTGTGTGTCTGCTGTCAGGGCTTGCGCTATCGAAGTCAATACGTTGCAGTGGGTATACTTCTATACCTAGTTCAGTCACTATTTGCATGAATTAATTTGTATTGAATGTAGACATATTTAAAGCAGGAAGAATATATTGGTGATAAACAGTAGTCCTGAACAAATATTTTGTCTTATGAAATAAGAAGGAATTTGCATGAATGTTTCCATTTCAAGAGAAAGCTGTTTTGTAAGGTAGGCCTGTCCTGAACATGTTTTCAGTGTTCAAGTTTAATGCAAACATTCGATACTTTTTAAAAATGAAATTAATTATGAATTTAAGAAAACAGATTCTGTGAATCTCAATTTCATCTTGATAGATCTACAGTGCTTGTGACTTTTTGCAGCTCTTGAGAATTGCGTCCATGTTCTCAAATCTTAACCTTCAAAGAAAATACAATCCACTCTGCAGTATAGATCTAGGCTTATAGTATACAACTGATAGGCCATTAATATGGTAATTAGTAGTTGGTACAAGAGTTGTTAGAGTTGAAATAAGGATCTGATTTAATCAATTTGTCATTAAGCTAGTACAAGTACATAGGTAGCAGTGGGAAAAGAGAATACCAGTGTGATAGCTCATAGCTCTGTATAAGCTATCAACACGTAGCTAAGTTTGAAATCAAAATAGTGCTGCTTTCTGTTGCTTGGTATGGAGTGCTCAGTACTCAACTTGCACAAAATGCCATGTCATTTTTATTTTGAAATCTATTTTCAAAATTTTGCGAATAAGTAGAAGAAATGAAGCTATGTTGTGATGAAAGCCATGTTGATAGATACATCTGCAGCTTTGGCTTCTGGTATTTATTAATTTTATTCACTAAGAAAGGGGAAGAAAAACCTGGTTTTATACAGCAATAAGGAAATGCTGGGTCAGATGGGTACTGGTGATGCTATTTGTTAGAAATCTCCTGGTGATGGAAAGATTGCTTTTCTTCTCCTCTTATAGTCTCTAATAGAAGTAATATGCATTTTCCTACTGCTGTTTTCATTTTCTGTTTTCTTGTAGTCGATTGTATACCTTTACATATAGATGAAAATTTAGCTGCAATAGTTATATTTCTGGTTGTTAAGTTAAAACATTTTGTTTCATTTTGTTGCCAGTTATTAGTTTTAAATTGCTTCAGTAGTTGCTGAGAGTGTTAAAAAGTTTGCATATAAAGGATTAAAATTATGCATAGATAGAACTAAGAAATATATTTTGGTATTAAGATATGGGAGTGAGATATGCATTACTTCTCATTTCTTTTTTCATGAAGCCGCCAATAATTATATAGACTAAGTACATCAGTGCTAAATCATGCTTAAAGAGTCCTCAATTGGTGGAAACTTCCAGTTCCAATAAACTTGCATTCATCTGCAGTTGTGTGTGCAGATATCTAGAAGTCATGCAGGTTTTCTTATATGTTCTATATTCTTTCCATCTCAACTCTATATCTGCAGTTGTTGCAGGAGAGCCCATGTTCTCATGCTTCCTCATGCCCCAGCTACAGGCAGTGCTAGACAGATTTTCTGCATTAATGATGGGCTAGTTAAAATTATTTACTCTTTTCATTCTGTTATGAAAATAAGAGTACTGCATGCAACATTTTGAAGAACTGCTTAGAAAACTGTAGCTATTTGAATCGTAGTTTAACTCACTGAAAAATTAACATAAAGAAAAATAGGGGGCTATAAAAAAGATGTTGTTTCAGAAATGTCATTGAAGTCCTATTCTGTAGTTGACTGGTGAAATCTCATGTGGTTACATCTATTGTTGTTATTTCTTGCTGCAAATTTGTCTATTTAAGAGGTATATTTGTTTCACTCCTGTTTAAATATCTGGAGATAGACTAACTGAGATAATGAATTCTGCATGTTGACCATATATAAGCATGCATGCATATATAAACATTGCTTTTTCTTTGCCTTTTCATTCTTAGACTGGCTTATCATGGGAATGACATAAAATAAACAGAAGTATATAAAGTTAAAGTAAGTTACACAGTATTATTGAAAAGTATCTGTAATATTTTACGTTTTATAATATAAACTAACAAAATTTGACACCAAAAAGAAGTTCTCCATCACATGTGAGGTATTTCTGGGGAATGATAACTGATAGGGGAAAAACAAATAGTGTAGGACCAATCCTATCTCTGCTCACC